CGTCATCGTCATCGTCATCGTCATCGTCATCGTCATCGTTGTCACAATCGTCTTCGTTCGATTCACAATTTCTACGTGACTGTCTCTTCCACCCCCGCCAGTCTCAAACTGTTCGCGTCTCAGTCGGTCTTGCGATCACGTCCGAAAATGGTAAATTTTATTTTTTCTAGTCGACAGAGGCGAACGATGCGACAGTGTGAGCTGGCGAGTACGACGCTGGTGGGATGAAGTAGGTGCAATGAGAAACGGAACGGAACGTAATCGGCATGTGAATCTGAATCGCGAACGACTTGTGTGACCGCGGTGGCGAAATGCCCTCGGATTCCTTCGCTTGAAAAACACGAATAGTCGAGCCTCGCCAAGTTACGAGCTTTTAGCGCGCCACGAGAAGCGTAAGTAGATGCGGTCGACCCGCGGCAGACACGATATAGAACAGCAAATATATACACACGTAGTATATATGTATATGTATATGTATGTATGCACATGTAATCGGCTTCTCGCCTCTAGTCCGATTTTATTTCAAGCTTCTCGCCCGTCTCGTCTAGTCTGAACGCCCCCGCCCCCCTCCCTCCCCCCATCTCCTGTGCCCCTTCGTCTTCATCTTCATCTCTGGCTTCCCCCTCACCTTCACTCCCACCTCCCCACACTCTGCTTCTTCTAGTTCCGTAAGGCTCTGTAGAACCGTTGGCACATGCACATCCTCTCCTCCCGTGTAGTCGATGTGTAGCCGCTCTAGAGAGACGTTAACGGTAGAAAAGCCTGCAGTCTTAACTCTCACGACTATCACCGAAAAACAAATTAAATTATGTAACTGTAATCGTATCGGTCTTGAAGGAAATAAGAAGAAAAAAAAAAAAAAGAAAAAAAAAAGAAAAGAAATGCGAACGAGAGGTATTCGTATTCAAAGCTATGGCTGTGATCCTAATTAATCGTGAAACGGTTCGTAAAAAAAAAAACAAAAAAAAAAAGAAAAAAAAATACTATAATACATATACGATGTAAGTAGGTTTACGACGACGCATGTAGCGACAAGCGACGCGATATTTTGCCAAAAAATCGTTGCGTTTCACGCGGGCTTGCGTTTTTTTTCCCCCACCCACCCTTTCCTTCCCCCCCCAAATCCGCTGTTCTCCGAGAATATTGTATATATGTATATGTACGAATATTCCACAGGTGAACTCACTCCGACTCGAACTCGCGCTCGAGGGAGCGCGTTACGTTCTTATTGTCCGGTGCTACGAAAAAACGAAAAGTTGCCTGTCTTTCTTTCTTGTTTTTTTTCCACTAACGTTTCTCCTTGTTCACCAGCCTGTCCTTCACTTCCTCCCCCCCCCCTCTACCCTCGGGCATCGAAAGCAGCGAATATCGCTGCCATTTCGCCAAAAAAGAATCATGGCCGTCTCGTGAGAATCAAATGGTGGCAACGACGACCACCCTCCTCCCCCCATGGCGAATCAAAAAATGGAACGAAAATACTTCCAATACGAAATCAAAAACGAAATGCCCCGCGAACTTCTCTCTCAACCGTATATCATAGATCGCAACGAGGGACAGAGAGGTATTTCTAATCGAATCTAACTCGCCGTGCGAGAAATCGTTGCTCAGAAAGTCAGTCGGAGACTTGGCATGTATGTATTTTCTATAAGCACCTCTAACGCGGTTCGATCATGTTCGATTCTCCGCTTGTTATTATTAACAGGGACCGTCTTTTTACTTTCTCTCTGTCTCTGTCTCTTTCTCTGTCTCCATGCTCTTCTGTTTCTGTCTCTGTGGAGTATTGCTCGACAAAGTCGTCGAGCCGATCATAGTTGCCGGGAATAAGCGGAACGAATCGAGTACGAGTACCGGTGCGACAAAACGCATCGATGTATTTTCACTACAAGTCCTGTCTACAGTCAATTCGTTTTGTATTTATACCTAATCTATGTATCTATCGTCATAATTTATGCCGAAATAAATGTTACATTTACGCACAGCGCAGCAATTCGCCACTTTGTTTTATTCGCCACCCTTCTCTCCACGCGCGAGTCTCTTCAACTCTCCTCGCGTGCACAGCCAGTCGAGGCCGAACGAGTTCTCCGACTAAACTAAACTTTCCGGCGGTCTCTTGATGGACAACGCTTTCCCAACGATCGAAATTACCGAACAGCTCGTTGTTGAAGAAGATTTACCATATCCCTACGTGTGTCACACTCTCTCTCTCTCTGTATACTTTATGTTGAGAGGTACAGTATTTGAGATGAGACACAATTATTACTTCGTAACTTTCTTTCGCCCTTTTCTTCTTAGTGAATTTTCACTTCTTACGATTAAATATTTATTCCAAGTTTTGGCTGCAAGTGTTCATTATATATTCACTGAATATATAAATAAAAATAATCACGATCGATGGCTGGAAAACTAAAGAAACGCGAAAATGATCCTGTGAACGTGAGCAGGCATTGCCAAAATTGAAACAATTGAGTAAGAATTTTATTATTTGAATA